TTTTGGAAAATATCCAAAAAAAAAAAAATAATAAAAAAGTCCATCGGGTGTAATGCAAAAACTTACTTTATCACCGCTCCCTTATCATTCTCTCTTCGGAACACATTCCGGGTGATCTAAGACATTTTTATTATTATTTTTTTCAACTTGTTCATCCAAACTTATCCAGAGTCAGGACGACAGACACATCATTACAAGATGCGCTTCTCTTTCTAACAACTGAATGTCTGCTGCGGGACACACCACTAGTGCACTTGCGCCGTCTGCTGGCGCTTCGCTTGATTACCACGAATACCCCCGATACAACCCGCAAAATATATAAAAAAATTAATAATAATAAAATAGCGTGGTAACCGCTATAATAACAAATAATAATAGAACCGATGGCAGGTACGACACGAGGTAACAATGGATTAATTATGACGGAATATAAGAGAATTTTAATCGATGTGTGTAAAGTCTTCTGTGTGACCGGTTGTCATTCTTTAAAAATTTTCTTGGCAATTTTAATAGTGGAATAGCGTGCCTTAACGGTAGACCCTTATTCCATTATTTCCAACCAGATGCGCTTGATGATTTTCTTATAGAAAACGTTTACTGAATAGAATTGTAGAAAAACGACAGGTGATTTATATATATTTATATATATAAAGTAGAATATGTTATGAACCGTAATGTTTGCTATAGAAATTTTGTAAAGCGGGGGTTAGTTATTAAGTTGATTAACCATTTAAGAAAGTGGTACTCAGCATCGAGTCAGTTTTATGCGCTCGTACGGTAATTTACGCAACACCTGCCGGTTCCCCGCCATGTTGAGAAAAATGCGCATCGCGCGGTTTGTTACGTAATTAGATTTTAGCCGATAACTTGAAGAAATTATTAATTTAAATAATAAAATTTAAAAAAAATGAAATAAAGAAGATACTCTTGTAAATAATTATGGTAAAAATTAAGAATTTAAGTGCGAAAGAATGGTGGTTCATCAACAGTTCGGATAAAAACCATCAAAAGTTGTAGTAGTATGGCGGAGACACAGAAGTTAGAGAAAAGAGTGAAAAAAAGAAAGAAAAAAAAACTCTTATTATTACTAGGAAAATTAAACATAATCACTGGGGGATACATTTACATTTTGGAGTCATCACATCTGCATATTATAAGTCCGTGCATCTAAAGTCGCGCCGAAGAAATCTTTGTGGAAGAGCCGAAATTATACTAATGCATAAGATGGACTGAGTATAAAATAATGATCATACATTTGTGTTTTCCACGAGATTTACAGTCGTGTATCGAGTGAATTTCTAGTGGTTGTCAACGCCCCTGATCAATGGGCCGAAAGAATGACGCCAGGTGAGTTGCGACATCGATCTTTTGCAAATCATTCAAGTCAAGGTGACATTCTTATTAGCGATGGACAAAAACACCATTTGCTTTTATCAGAATTAATAAATTTATAATTAATTCTAAAAAGAAATATTTTTATTTAAAAAAAAAGANTAAATATATATATATATCATTCTTACAATGTTTTCGATATTTAATACATGCATTAACTTTGTGTTTATGAGAGAGAAAGGATAGAACTTCCTTCCGCTCTGGCACGCTAAGTTAATGCATTAGTGGTTTAACACTTAAGAAATTTTATTGATAATTAAAGTAATAATATATACGTAGAGGAATAAAGAAGAATAGAGAAGAGATTTGTGAATAGAAGAATGGAGAGTGGCATGCTTTCTACGTTTTGATTCGTTTATAATGTCTGATAGATCGCAGTAGTACTTTTTATTGTAAAAGTTATTTAAAAAATAAATAAATAACCGTGAGAATTTTTGAAGATTCGTATGATAAATTAATAAAATTAACTAAATCGGTAATCAATTATAATTAGAAAGAAACTGGGCATATGATATAACAGTTGACCCCCCCTATAACACTGTAGATAATTCCGTTTTATAAGAATTCCATGTTGTACGAGTCACTTAGATTTTACAAATACGTGAGCCATTCACAGCCCAGCACGTGTATTTGTAAAATCTAAGTGACTCGTATAGCATGGAATTCATATAAAACGGAAAAATCTAAAAAAAAATTCTATTAATAAAACTTCAAATGGATTGGAATTGCTGAATTTTTCTTTCTTTTTTTTAAAAAAAAGTTTTGATTATTTAAAAATTCGAACTTTTTAGAAAGTTTATTTGGCAACGCGAAACGAATTTTTTGAAAAGTTTTTTTAAGTTAGTTACTTTAAAATGCACACTCTACCGGAATTTTTAAGTACTAACTACACCAGCGGATATTATTATTTAAAATTTGGGAAATCGTTTGTACATTATAGAATTATTGGCCTTTTCAAAAAACCCGAGAAAATGTTTAATAAAAGTAAAAAAAAAAAAAGATAAGCTAAACGATCTGGTGAGTGCTCTAAATGACGCAATCATTAATGTTTGTTCAATCCACCCTTGGTTACTTAGCAACGGTAACCATGACAATCTAATCATATACGTCATATTCCTTACCCGACATGCTTCGAACGGAAGACACCACCCAATTTTTTGATCTTTTCCTTTATATTGCATTCATTAGTCGGTCATTAACATGACTAGAATGATTATTTAGCATAAAAAGTAAATATAAAAGTATTAGAAAGACATTTTGACAAAGTGAAGGTAAAATTATATCCGACGTCACATGACATCATCGGTGACGTTCATTAATTAAAAAAAAAAAAAAATTCGATTACCGAAGCAAACAATAATTTTCTAATAATATAAATGTATAATTATGAAGCGAATTTAATTTTTTAAAAGCGGCAGACGGACAAAATTAATTCAATTTTCCCGCGAGTCATTAATCGAGTAAATAAATTCTCGCTAGATGGCTGCAGNACAATGACATGATTCAGTCTTAGGTCATTTTTATAAAAGTTTTTTTATTTATTTATTTATTTTTTTTTAAATTCTAATTACATATTCAGAATATTTCTACTTTTGAATGCTTTTCGTATCGAATCACATGCAAATTATATTAAAAAAACAAATTCCAAAACCTTTAATGCCCGAAGCTATTCTATTCTCAATAATAATATTTATCGAGTTAGCGATTCTCAACTTTCGATTTGTTATTATGATATTTGTTCAAATTTTCTAATATAATTTGGTAACAGTTTTAAAAAAAATTCCTATTAAAATACATTAGTTTTTAATAGAAGATGCATTCATTAAACAACCATAGTTAAAGATAAACGAAAAGAATATCGGGATGAGTATTTTTATATTCCGGGTATGTAACAAAAGTTATATAGAAAACCCAAGGCTAAACCTACTCGGTGTTGACTCATCAATATAGGCAAACCCTCTTTGCTAGAATATTGATTTTCTTTCCAACAAGTATGACTTTCTTCTGTTCGGTTGACAACAGCAATTCACAGTTTCATTACCTGAGGCAAACTAGATATTCTAAAGATATAGAATAACCGAATTTTTTGACGAATTGATTTCTTTAGCATCCCTCCAACGAAAAACGGAGCCGCGAAAATTAGGACACTTTTTTCTGGTGTGTGTGTGTGGATGAAATTCGGGCGCCGTCCGGATTCTCGTTCTATAATCTTTGTATAGATTTTATTATTATTATAATTCGGATGCATCATTTACGACATTAATGGTTAGAGAGAAGAGGCACACTCCATTAGAATTGGCGAGTGCCAGTTAATCATCTTTAACTAATTCATTTTTTTTTTCCTCTTCCTCCCTCCCTCTTCTTTGATTTGGCAACGAATGAATCGAATAAATAATTGATACTTTCTTCATACGAGGTGATTAATTGATTCCTGTCAGTAAATTATTGCTGTCGTTAACGGTGTGTTGCGACTGTTCTTTAACTATTACGTGCGCGTAGCTTTTGTTATTTGTATTATTATTATTTTTTTAATAATTCAAACAGTAGAATATTTGACAGAAAGGATGGTATTCGGATACGTGGCTTTGTGTTTGGAGTAGGGGTATCAGGTGCCGAATGGCTTTCTTTCAACGTCCAACAACTTTATACTTAATACCATCTCCCAGAAGAGATTCTTTAATTCTCTTTCTGGATGTTAGTTTAACCATTAGTTTAAGGTATCTTTATTTAAAAAAATATATATATTATATAAAAATATGGGAAATTCCGTTAAAGATGTAAAATCAGTACCATTAAACTTAAGCCGTATAAATTGGATTACGGGAGGAAAAAAAACAAATAGATATATGATTTCTTTTAGACGGGATGGACGTTCCAATATGAATTTTAGTATATGATGGAAGTAAAATTCTTTCTACATTTTAAGAAACTATGTATAAAACTTACATACCATTCTTTTCTCTTATGAAATATTCAGTTTTTCCGAATATATCGATTCTTAAAATACCCTTTAGGGACAATTTAAGAATCGATATAAGAAAGCACAAAAAGATATCTACGATTCTATAGATCCATTTTTAAATATTACTTAATCGTTTTCCGGAGACAGATGTTAACTTTATTCGTTTATAAACATTAATATTTACAATTAAATAATTAAATTCGAAATATTAATCTATGTACGTTTACGTAAACTCAGTAATCTTTGCCATATTTTTGTCATTTTTTTTGACAATATAGAAAACATCGATCATTTTTACCCTACGAATTTTTTCTTATTTATTTTTATCTGAGAAGAATTTCCTCTAAAACTTCTATATATCACAATTCAAGCAATTTTTTTCTTATTTCTGTAACTCGAAACTTTTCAAAGGGACTCGAATTGTAGAAGAGATATATGATAGCTAAAACTCGAATTTATGAAGATATATATATATATATAGGATGGCATAAGTTGTTTATAAGTTATTTCTTCAGCTTATAAAAACTAAAGCGAACGAATTTAAGTCACGATTTTGTCATAAAAATCGACATTTTTAAGTTGGAAAAGACTCATAAATGACGTCACAGTCGAGTATAGATTATAAATGGATATTCGTTACGGGATTATAAGTGATGAAAAATTCAAGAAAATCTTTACCAATTAGTCACAGAAGACCTCGTCTAAATTTATTATCTGAAACCACTCAGATAGATTAGCTTCTGTTAGATAAATGTCGTAGAATCGAAACATCATGTTTTCCCAGTTTTATAAGGTCCTATAGTCGTTACTCTCTCAGTAAATGTGTTCTGTACATTGATAACCGACGTCCATTTTATATTT